TTTTATTTTAATGAATGTTATACATTTCAAGTTTATGAATAAATGTAAGAATTATCTTTTTATTATTTATAATTATCATTGGTCATATCATTTATTATTTCTTTTTGTTTTATCTTTTATATAAATGTCTATTCTTTTATAAAATATTCACTTTTATTGATTATTTCATATTTCAATTCATTGATTATTTCTTTATTTTCTGTTTTTTTGTTTTTATCATTTTCATTTTTATTTGAACAATAATTTCATTTTATTCGCTTGTTTTATTCTTCATTTCTTCATTATATTTATTTGTATTTTATTTTACTTATTCTCTTCATTTATTATTTCATCTATTATTTCATATTTAATTTGTTCATTCTTATTTACATTATAATTTATCATTATATCTTCATTTCTTGTTATTTTATTACAAATAATACATCATTTCATTTAGTATTTGACGTAATTATTAATTTGTTATTTTTCATACAAATATGCAATTTTCTTTCATTAATTTTATTGTTTATATTCATTTCTCTTTATATTAATAACATTCATTATTTTATTTGTTAATTTCTCATTATTTCATTTTTCATTCTATTTTTATTATTTGATTATTCATTTTATTATATTTCATTTTATTATATTTCATTTTATTATATTTCATTCTATTTATTCTTTATTTATTGTTGCTCATGTATTTAAACTGAGTTCATAGATTTAGAAACAATCCAAAATTCATAAAAACTTGACACGATGAAAGTGTTACAAAAAATAACATAACCCCTTCTTGACATAAATGATAATATCGGTTTTAAAAATCCAGCATTTTGTTATAAAATAATGGAATACTGATATATAACAGATAAAAATATAATAAAAATGGTATGAATCTTTTATTTAAATGAGAATTTTTGATAAACTTTTATGTCAGAGTTTTTTTGAAAAAAGATTTAAAGCATAAGTGAAACTTCCTCTTTTTTGTAAATTTAAAATGATTTATAACTCAGAAAAAACTTACTAACTATTTTATTTTTCAAAAAACTTTATATCTCATCTAAAATGTTTTAATGTTTACTCGTATATCTTTCAAGCAAAGAATATATAAGAAATAAACTAATAATTCATTGTTTATTTTATTTATTTCATGTGTTGAAGTTTCTTTGATTAGAATTAATAAAAAAAAACAAAAAGGTAATTAAAATAATTGTTGTTAAATAATAAGAAGTACTTTTTAAATTGAATGAATTATATAAAGTACTTCATAACTAGATTGAATAAATTGATAATAATTTCTCTTTTCATTTATTAAAAAATTATTTCTTGAGAAGGTTGACTGTTATATTTATATAAATTTATTTTGGTTTATTTTACTTCTTTTTCAAAGATATTTTTTTCATGTTTTTAAGACATTTATTTTTATCAAAATGATAACACCTCCTTATATCATTGTATGTTCGACTATCAAACATTGTTTTTTAAAAATTCTAACAACTTGGTTTTTAACAAATAATTTTAAATCCTAAAATTGTTTTAGTATTTTATTATTGCAGCATCTAACTAAAATAAATTTTGAAATAAAGATATGAAATTTATAAATACTTTTTATTAACAAAATTCATTTTTTTTTTTGAATAAAGAAAAGTGAAAGATGCAAAATTCTTCTTTTACAACGAAAAAAAAAAATAGAAAAAAACTAAGAACTTAAAAAAAAAACATAAAAAAGAAACATGACAGAAAAGTTTGATAATTTTAAGTTTAAAAATGAGACTAACAATATTAAATGGAAAATAGAAGTGTTGGGATTGTTATGATTGGATTACCAAAAGTTGGTAAAACAACTCTTGTGAATCAATTTTGCGTTTGTTATCTTTTCATTTTAAGATTTTTATTAAATCACATAATCATTATGTAGGGACTTCCAGTGAGTGAAGAATATCAACAAACTGAACAAGAACATACAGTAAATACAGTACTCACAATTAACAAAGTAGGATATAGATTTACATTTGTTCGTTTATTATTAATTTATTCTAAACCAAAAAAAGAACTAATAAATAGAATGACTGTAATGGGGATACTTTTTTAAATGCTCGAACTACTAATAACTCTATGCTTTCTAAAGGTAAAATTCATATTCTTGTTGCTTCTAGATCTGAATCAGATTCTGGAGAATTTCTACAAGGTCAATTTAGAGATATCAATGATAGAGATGATGGAAGTAATCCATGTTATAGGTTAGTGTATGTAACACATAGTGATGAAAATGATGATGACAATGTTGTAGAAAAAATTAAGTCTTTTCTTCCTGATGGTATAAAATTGTTTCAATTTAATGCTTTAACTCAAAAAGAAGATATTCAATCTTCTCTAACTGATTTTTTGAAAAGAGCAGTTGTAGAACATCAAGAATTGTTTGATGGGTGTGTTGTTTCTAATACTACTTCTAACTCAAAATCACGCAACGAATCTTCAAAAAAGGAAAAGAAAGGAAAGAAGTGTGTTATGCTCTAATTACTCAATTGTTTTTCATTTATTTTTTTATTGTTCTTAAAGCAGATTCAAATTTAACATAAACTTAATTTATTTTTAAATTACTACAACAAATTTTATTGAATAATTCTTTTTTTTAGTTCAAGTTTATTTCTCACAACTTCTGTTTTTAATTCTTATTTTAGTTCATTCCAAAAAAAAAACAAAAGACGATTGAAAAATAAAATATTACTTCAAATGTTTGTTATAAAAATATATCTTTTTAACAAATAATAAATACTAAAAAAATTATTTAATATTATCATTCAATAATAATTAATTGTTTTCAATGAAAATGAATAAAATAAAAATATAATAACATCTAATAAGAATATGTTTATAAATGAATTGTTATTTTATTAAATCCTTATAATAAATATAATTAAATTAACGATTTTACTCCATTAAATGGGTTAAGATTTTAGTCATATTGTTTTTTTTATAATTGTACATAACTATAACATTAATACTTTATTTCTTCAAGATAAAAAATACATTTAAAATGAATAAAATTATTAATTTTAATATCTCTTTCATGTTGTTCTAACTCACAAACTAAAGTAAAATGAAATATACCATATTTGTTTTTTTTAAAATATAACTTTTACTTACTAACAAATGTTATCAAATAGATTTAAATTATTTTGTTGAATCAAAATCAAAAAAAAAGATTTTATTGGTTTTTAATTATACTTTCATATCCAATTATTTTTGTTGACATTTGATACTTTTTTTGTTCAAGGAAGATAAGGTTCAAAAATTTATGATATGTTTGTTATTCTGAATAAACATTTCTTTTAAAAGAATAACAAATAAACTTTATTTTAAACAGAAAAACTCATAGTACTAACAATGATTATCTGAGAAAATACTACTTTAGTATAGTTTAAAATGGTTTTATAATAATGAACCAAAAACTATCAGTATAATAAGAGTAAAAAAAGAATTAAAAAATACTTCAAATGAGTCAAACCTCATACTGTTAAAAACTTCTACAATTAAACTCAAATAAACCACTTCATACATCTTTCTCTTATTTGTATTTATAAAAAAAGAGAATGACAAGAGTACTATTCATTAATTCGTTATTGTCTTTTTACATATTTAATGGATACTACTCTTTTCTTCAATTCATCATTTGACATTGTTTATTAAATTAATTAATTATTTCACATTCATCATATCAAAACTTTGTTGATGGAGAATTGAATCAATTAGTTAGTCAAATTCAAATTACACTAATAAATACCAACAATAAAAAATAGTTAGAAACAAAAATTATTTGAAAATAAAATTATAAAAATTAAATATAAATATTCTCTTTTTTAGAGTGACTGTTCTTAACAATTAACAATTCATTAATATAATGAATTATTAAAGAAAAATGAAGATTTAACATATTCTGTGAACCATCCAAGAATAGAACATTAATCAAAAAAAAAAAATAAAATAAAAACAAATTTAAGAAACACAAAATAGTAAAAATAAATAATAAATAATAGAATAACTTGTTTGGTATTAAAATTAAAAAAAACCCTGAAAAACACAAAAGAAAATTTAAACAAATAAAATGAACACTGATGAACAACATAAAACTGAGGGAGTAGATAGTGAAGAAGTAAGTGTTGATCACAGTGAAAAAACTCAAAAAAAGGAAGACCAAACCAATGAAAAAGCTCCAAAAATTTCTACTTATCAATCAAAATATGTTCCAAGTAAAGAACAACAAGATCGAGATCGTAGATCACTTTGTATTACTCACCTTGATGTTAGGACAACAAAAGAGGATTTAATGAAACTTTTTTCAACTGTTGGTAAGGTTATATCAATTACTATTCCTGTTAATCACTCTGGAATCTCAAAGAAGTATGCCTACCTTGAAATGGATTCAATTGAAAATAAAAATAAAGCTATAATGAGTTTTAATGGAACAAAAATCGGAAAAAATGAAGTTATGGTTGTTACTAAACGTATAAATGTAGCAGGATTTAATAAACGCGTTCCAAAGAATGCTCAAAATCAAAAACAATCTTGTATTACTGAAGATCCAACAGAAGATAAAGGTATTAAAGAATTACAAAAATTAATAGAGAGTGAAGGTATTAAAGAGTTAGAAAAGTTAAAAGAAACTGAAGACCCAACAGAAGATAAAGGTATTAAAGAATTACAAAAATTAATAGAGAGTGAAAGTATTAAAAAACCAAAAGAAAGTGAAGGTATTAAAGAGTTAAAAAAGTCAAAAGAAAGTAAAGGTATCAAAAAACCAAAAAGTGAAAAAGCAACGAATAAGGCAACAAAAGAAAAGAAAAGAACTACTAAAATCAATATTGTAAACAATAATACTGACACTTCAGAAGAAAGTAGTGAATCTATGGACAATTTAGTTCAAAACATCGTTTTAGGACTTCGTAGAAATAAAAGTACTGAAAAGGATAATTAAATAAAGAAAAGTTAATAATAATTGAGTGTTAAAAGACCAAAAAGAATTACTTTTTCTGTTATGTGTTTATAAATTCAATAAAGGAAGATAGAACAAATTTTAATGAAGAAAAAAGAATAAATTATTGAAAAGAGATTGTTGGATTATGAAATTTACGGTGGAGATAAGGAATCATTAAAAATATTCCAATCAAAAACAAATATCCACTTCTGTCATTCTTTTCTTCTCCTACCAACATGATGTATATTTTCCAAAACATCTTCTTAATTGGAATAGTTATAGGAATTTCCTCTATCTTTTTCCATAAACTAATTACCAAGTCATCAATTTTTAATTCATGGATGAATTGATATATTATTTGTCCTGTTTTCACAATAAGCGGTTTACCCATTCCTATTGTCATTAAAATTTGAGCTATTTCATTTTCTATCCCTCCAAATTGTGTAAATGGAGAAGTAAAAATTGGTGGGTAAATTGGTGGAACATATGGTGATAAGTATTGTGGTGTATTCATTTGTGGTGAGACTGGTTGTTGGTGTGGATGAGTTTGAGAGGGTTTTTGCCATGAACGTGGTGGAACTGACATGTTAGTTAAAGATGACAAATAAGTTTTATTTGAAAAGAACTTAAAATAAAATATTCCAAAATAGCGTTGGTTAGCTAAGCGAAATGGAAGAATATCATAACACTACAAAAGACTATGAAAATCCACGGGGGATAATTATTTATATCAACATGAATGAAAAAGATGACATAAAAGAAGAAATCAAATGTATTAATTCAAAGGAATATGATAAAGTTATTAAAGGATTTAAGGAAATTATAAAAGATAAAGAAATTGAACACTATGAAATTATTGGAGAATACATTGATTTAATGAATGAGCAAAAAGAAAAAATAAAAGGAAAAAAAGGAGTGATGATGTTATTTACCTTCGACTGTAATGACACACATGACCAATTACCAAAAATTAGTATTATAAAAGAAGAGAAAGAAGGAAATGAAGAAATTAATGAAGAGTATGATAAATTAATTAATAACCTTCAAGAATTACATAATGAATATACAAACCAACCAATGTTATTCATTGTCCGTCATGCAGTTAGGCATGACTACATCGATTTAAAATGGGTTCCAACAGCACAATATCCACATGACCCACCATTACATATAGATGGAATTAAACAAGCAGAAGAAGTAGGAAGAAGAATGAGACATGAAAAGATTGATGTTATTGTTAGCTCACCATATTTAAGAGCAACAGGAACAGCAAGAGAAATAGCAAAATATAATAATATGAAGTATGGAATAGAGCCAGGTGCAAGTGAATTTTTGTCTAAAGTAAACAGAAAAAAAGTACCAGAATTTGATCCGATTAAATATAAAGATCCATATTATGATGACCAATATCAACCAATTATTAAGGAAGTAGTATTAGAAACATGGGAAGAAATTCAGCAACGAGCATTTAAAGCAATACTAGAACTAACTAAAAAATATAAAAGAGTATGTTTTGTAACACACAGATCTACCCAACAAGCATTTATGTCAAAAATGATAGGAAGAACTATCAAAGACAATTATGCGTTTACATCAGTATGTATGTTTAAACCAATTGAAACATTCCCGTTCTTCATTCCACAAAGAATGAATTCTTATTATCATCTAAGAACATTTATCGAAACACCAGTCCATAATCCTAATTATTATATTGAAGGGAATTATAAAGATATGATTCGAGGAGATGATGGTAAAATTTTACCATCAGGATATGTCTAATTGATTTATTCTTTAACCAAATCATTACAATATGATAAATAGCAACCAGAAATCATGATATAAA